TGCATGTTGTTTCTAGTGCTTTGAATTTCTAAAAATTCTTACCTCATAGTTTACATCCGCTGAAGAAGATATGTATAATTAAAAAATGGCAGGAAATAATGTACCAAATAGAAAAAGGTTTTTGTCATCATTTCATATCAGTATATGCGCGTACTACTGTAAATGTTTTAACTTTGATATTTTTTATATATTAAATATTGGATCCACGCCTCACCTGATATTTAGCGAGTTTTGATACACATGCACACTCTGACCTAGTTAGAATTTTCTATCGAGCGCTGGCCATCATTTACGCAATAGCTTAGATGACTACATAATTAAGAACATATATTTTGAAGACCCACCACCACCCAAGCGATATTGTGTGTCTGACTCTCTAATATTTCTGTATAGCTTCTTTTATTTATCGATAATAGAGAAAATGCTCATCGTTTACAACCCTAGTCTATTTTTAGAAAATCGCATCTTCGTCAAGCATTGACCACTCGGTGCTCCTCAGGTGGCTAGTGCCTCGCACTTATGGAGCGCAGCGGTGTCAGCCGAGGAGTACCGATTGATTAATGGCAGCTTACATAGGGACTTCACATCCGGAAATCAAACTTAATGTGTCATCTCAATCAATAAATTACGGTATATCTGCGTATTCATTGAGACCTTTCCGGATACCCCACTCCCCTATATCTCAACAGCTGAACAAACTCTAGTGGACTCCATCAACCCCATTTTCTAGATTTATTTCAGTAAACCTTAATGCTCACAGCAAAATTCAATTTGTTGTCCACCATAAACATTGTTAGGCTTTTTAGTATACCACTCCCATCATCATTTGTTGATGAAAATGCAAATTCCTTATTTTTGTCGTACAACTTAATAATGAGCTTCATTCCAATATTCTAAGTAGCTCGTTCTACTTTGACTTGTGGTTTCGTGATTTGTCATTTAAGAACAGGTCATCATAAGATACTTACTCCTAGGCATCTAATTATTCTGAAGGAGTATACACCGTAAAATCCTTATTAACACTAATATTCACTGCTCCTGTTGGTTATTTAAACAATAAAATTGACATCCTGCAACGTGTGAAACTTGCAACTTTACTTTTAACGATTACTCTGGTACAAGTTAAATTAAAATAGGTTTGTACGTTAATCAATAAATTTCATGACAATTTAAAGTATGTCAATTCTTCTGTCAGGCTTTTATTAATTATACAATTACATGAGTTTTATTAATAATTTTGTATAAAGTTATTTAAACGTTGTATATCACAACCTCGAAAGTCAGATAATTGATCTGGGCTAAAATTGTCAAAATACGTAAAATCGTATGTAGATGTTAAATGTCATAGTACTTACCTCTGTTACCTTTAGGTAAAAAAATGCCTTTCTGTGTCTACAATGTCTCTTACTTTACAAACATCAGAATCGGTAACTTCTATACATGCTTTTTTGAGTTGTAAGGAAATTGAGAATAAGGGGATGGGGTATATAAAGAGGTGAGCTAAACCAACAAAGGGTAGACCCTAATTTTCATTGCCTATCTAATGTTTATCTTACAACAAATGTGCTCCTCTCACCCGGTTCTGATGCTATGTTTAAAAACAATTTTAATTTTACAGAACGGAGTGACATTTCATGAGAAATTTACGTCACAGACAGCACGTACCGGTATTTTGGTTCAGAGGTTGACTTACATGATGAAATTTTGTACCTAGACGCCTGGCATGGACAACCCGCAGTCCCCTTACCTGTCTCTGTTTAGAAGCGCGCTTCTAATGTTTATTTCCAACATGCATCACCTCTATTGAAAATCCATAGTTTTAAACTCACATAATGGAATTATATCGCTGTACCGTTTTATGCTATTTAACGTTGTACACCAATATCATAACGAATGTCACTTTGTCATTATCTGAAGATAATAAGTTTGATTTGTTCCGATATGACACAATAACTAGTGCTTATCTTTTCAAAAATTAGGTCAAATGAGTTCACAAGAAATAGATAGGAAACAAGTTAACAATGGCAGCGTTGAAGAGGTGTTTTTTCTTCGCTTTATTCTTTCACGTCACATATGGACAGGTTCCAATCCCAAACCACAAGCTTGGATACGTGTATGGAGACGTCAAGGGTTTGACTCCGATCAATGTAGATGCTTTTATGGGACCCGTGTGTCCTGATAGTCAGATGGCGTTCCCTACTCTTAAACAGCTGGCTGAGCATTATGGACCGGAAGTGTTAACACTCCGGATGCACATGTTCCCCCTTCCGTACCACAGGAATTCGTTTCTTGTCGCAATGGTGAGATAATTTCGGTTTTTTGTCCATATTCATGTTACTTTTTGTATCGGCAAAAATGAAATCTAATATTTCTTTCCCTTTAAATAAAAGATTGAAGTTGAAAGATTGATTGTATGTTGTTTAACGTCCATCTCGAGAATTTTTCACTCATATGGAGACGCCACCACTTGCCGGTGAAAAAAAAAATTTGAACTCTACTCTGCACTCGGGATCATTTAGCAAGGATGGATCTTTTTCATTCCAGCACGCAATGCCACATGGGACCTCGGTTCATACGGTCTCATCCGAAGGACAGGTCTCCACGTCCCACAGTGGGATTCGAACCGTAAGGATCAACTCCTTACTGCGCGACTCTAGAGCAGACACTCTTACCACTGCGCTACGCGGCCGACAAAATTTGAAAGGTTCCCATCAATCATGACCAATGTTTTTTGAATATCAGCTGAAATTTACCCCATTCAGCAGGTGTTCATTTTGGCTTTTCCACAATCTAATAATATAATTAAAGCAGTTGCACAAGGTCGTCTCTTATTTTACATGAACAAATATCTAAATCCGAAGACATGGAACATAACACAAGTGCTTTTAATACATTATTGGATTATTTTTTAATAATGATTCCTGTGCTGAATACCAGCACAATTAAGGCTTTACGTTACAAGTTTTCATGTATCAAATTTAAGCTTTTTTTTCTGGAATTAGGGTGCCCAGATAATCAATCAACTATCTGACTCACCACAAACCGTTTTTAACTGGACGGCCAGTGTATATAACAGATTAGACAGCTTATCTAACAACGCCACCAAGTCTATGTCAGAAACCATGGTCATCAGGTAGTAGTCATAATTGAATGTCATGTACACATTTCTGCAAAAAAAATTAATAATAATAATAACTAGGATGTCAAACACTTTGAACTCGGAATTTCATGAATATTTTAAACATTTTGATACATAGAGGTTACTAATGAGGTTCATTTATAAGGATAAAGCTGTTATAAATGGAATTTTTCTACAGATCCGTGAAATTATTTGCTTTTGTGTAAATTTAACAACCACTCCAAAAAGCACTCTTGACCATACATATTATTTTTCCAAACAAAATATTTAAGCAGGGTTATATATCAATCAATTTAGGTAATTTCTATTTCACTAAAATTGCAACAGTGGAATTTTAATATGTATTAAAACGATAAAATATAACTACATGTATTACTACAACAAATATTAAGGTATAACGAATAAATGAAGAGATGTTCATTATTTATTGTCGATTAGCGAGAACATTTGCGTTTTATTAAATTTTCTTCATGTAGTATGTTAAGTGATATAGCGACCGGGATAGGAATGCAGAAAGCGACATTTATCGGAAAGATGGCGGACCCTAACATTGATGAAGACACAAGAGTGGAATGGAAATACACATGCACTCGTAAGCATAAGATATTATAAACAAAATTTATTAGTAAGCTAAGTCTGTAAAGCTTTATTTATGCATATAAAGTTCATTTTAAAATTATAAAGCATTATTTTCGAAGTAAAATGTTTTATTTAAAATAGTTTGATTTTCATTTGCATCTCATTATAGGTGGAATATCCGGAACCCCAATGTTTACGATCAATGACGTAATAGTGCAGGCTGATGCATCTTGGGGTCTAGAGGAGTGGAAGAAAGTCATAGATCCACTCCTGAAAAGGGTATTTTTTTTTAAATTCAAACACAATATCCTTCTTAAAGCCACTTAATAAGGCATATCCGAAAATGAACAAATTATCAATAATGAGATATGACCAAATATTCTACAGTGGAAAAATACATTTTATCAAATATGAAAATTTATGTAAAGGAATATTCAATTTTATTATTTAAATTGCCGGATATATTTGATCTCAGATATAAAAATTTCCCTTCAGTCCAGCTCTTCTAACCACTCTGCAAGTTCCACTGGTTGTAAGATTGGTACCACCAAGTGCGAGTATCTGCCAGGAAAGATTGAGTGCTGTACCAAAGGTGAAGGGTGTATACCGAACGTAGGCTGTCGTTGTTAAGGCGCTATATAATAAAGGCGTATAACACAAATCTGAGTTACCTTATACAATATTATACAAGCGGACTATATATTGTTTACAAGATGTATTTCACAGATTACAGTTATTAACTTTTTCAAAAGAAATGAGAATCGACAGAATAAAAACCACCTTACGGAAATAGTCATCGAATTTAGAATCCTAAGCTGTTAAATATAAAAAAAAAAATACATGTGAAAATCGGAAAGGACACTAAAATATTATAATTTATTTAAAGAAAATTGCAAATTGAAGAATGACTGGTTTCAATGCTTCGTTACTGCTCGTCAAACTCCTTTCATTCAATTTTGACGTCACAAAAGTTACCATTCAATTCTGACGTCATAAAATTTACGAAGCCTCCTGTCCAAGATTGACACCAAAAAAAATCGGAGAAACAACCTTGTCAACATAATTTATACTTAGGCAGGACCTGTGGCGTATCTGTAGACTGCCTTTATCCAGAGAGGTAGCACACCTTGTATAACGTTCACCTGGAAAGAGTTTGATAATTCTCATGCAGTTTATCTACGTCGATTTTTAGGTCACCTGAGTAACTCAGGTGACCTATTGCTATCCGTTTTCGTCCGTCGTGTGTCGTGTGTTAACATTTGAACATTTTCAGCTTCTTCTCTGAAACCACTGAACCAATTTCAACCAAATTTGGTATACAGCATCTATGGGTGAAGGGGAACAAAAATTGTGAATTTCATGGTCCCCGCCCCCCTTGGGCCTGAGGGGTGGGGCCAAAACCACTAAAATTAATGAAATCTTTAAAAATCTTCTTCTTTACTCCTGGACATCAAGCAGGCAAACTATTGGCATGAATGTAATGAGCATTGAGTCCTCTACCAAAATTGTGAAATTCATAGCCCCAGGGTCAGGGGTTCTAGTGCTAGGGCGGGGCTGTATAGATTATATAGTGAAAATGCATTATTTCTTTGAAAATCTTCTTCTCTGCTCCTGGTTATTAAATACACTAACTAAGAACATAGTTATGATGAGCAAGAGTGCCTCTTCCAGATTTGTGAATTTCATGGCCCCAGGGTTAGGGGTTCTGGTGTTAGGGCGGGGCTCTATAGATTATATAGTGAAAATGCATTATTTCTTTGAACATCTTCTTCTCTGCTCCTGGGTATTTAATAAACAAATTAAGCACATAGTTATGATGAGCAAGAGTGCCTCTTCCAGATTTGTGAATTTTATGGCCCCAGGGTCAGGGGTTCTGGTGTTAGGGCGGGGCTCCATAGCCTGAAAATAAATTAATGCTTTGAAATCTGCTCTTTGGTATTAATGAACCATTTTATGATAAAATTTGCAAAATTTTGAAAAATATGGCCCTGGGTCAGTGGTTCCTTTGGGGTGAGGTGCACAACTGGTTATAAAGTGGAAGTGCATATTATTTTCTCTTTGTTACTCTGATCTACCTCTGGGTATTAAGTAAAGAAAGTAAGCATGCTAAGTTAATAACTATGATAAGCAGTGGTGCCTTTCAAAATTGTAAATTGTGAATTTCATGGCCTCCGGTTTAAACACGAACCAAATTTAATTGTTTGAAAGTTGTTACACAATACTCAGGTGACCTATAAGGCCCGTGGGTCTCTTGTTTTTATAAAGCTGAATTTTGACTTGAGGAGCATCAAGGGTTTGCTTTGCGTTTAGGTTCTTCGTCACTAAGGGCCATTGAGCAGTGAGATCTTTTTTTCGTGCTAGCACCTACTGCGACACGGGACCTTGGTTTATACGGTCTCTTCCGAATGACCGGTGTCCACGTCCTACAGTGCGATTCGAACCTGCGACGTTAAAATCAACTCCTTGCTTTGCGACTCTAGAGCAGACGATCTAACCACTGCGCCACGCGGGCGACTTGACTTCCTCGAAGAATGAACTTTTAACCTTCATTTGAAGCTGATTTATTACAGAATGAAATAAAATAGAGCTCTAGGTTATGTCAGATCTTTCAAACAGTATTCGATTGAACAAGTAACCACATCCTTCTCATCATGATAAAAGAAAATGAACTGAAGGCACACTCACATTTTTATCCTTCGGCAGAGGAACTCTCAATCATTGTTTCAAGTTGGCACAATCATAGCTAAAAGGCTTCTGCTATAAGTTAGTTAGTTCTTCCTCTGAAATTTTGAACCGAAGGCTTAAACTACAAATAAGCAGATTGATTGAGGAAACAATGAATTTTTGAAATGCAATTTTGCTTTGTGAATTTACAATCCATCTTAATTGTGAAAATACGTGAGAAAAAATTGTACACCACAATTCTGAAAATACTATCAAGCAGAGGTGCCTTGAGCAATTAACAGCACTTACGCCATTGAGTAGACGAGGTGTTTTTCTTGCATGTACTTTGCACGACACGGGACGTCGGTTCTATTAGCTCTACTGGTCAGAGACCAGAAGAGCTTATGCGATAGTAATGCGTCCGTCGTCCGTCCGTCCGTCTGTCTGTCTGTAAACAATTTTTCAAAATGCTACTCCTCCTACAGTTTTGGTCTGATTTCAATATAACTTGGCACACAAGTAGACTACGCTAAGATACATAATTCTGTGTATCGGTTTTTGATTTCGATGAACGGTGTTGCCGTGGTTACTAAAAATAGAAATTTCTGTGAAATTCTTTCAAAATGCTACTCCTACTACAGTTTTAGTCTCATTTCAATGTAACTTGGCACACAAGTAGACTACACTAAGATACATAATTCTGTGTATCTGTTTTTGATTTCGATGAACGGTGTTGCCGTGGTTACTAAAAATAGAATTTTCTGTGAAATTCCTTCAAAAATGCTACTCCTCCTACAGTTTTAGCCTGATTTCAATATAACTTGGCACACAAGTAGACTACACTAAGATAGACAATTCTGTTTATCGGTTTTTGATTTCGATGAACGGTGTTGCCGTGGTTACTTAAAATAGAAATTTCTGTGAAATTCTTTCAAAATGCTACTCCTTCTACAGTTTTAGTCTGATTTCAGTATAACTTGGCACACAAGTAGACTACACTAAGATACATAATTCTGTGTATCAGTTTTTGATTTCGATGAACGGTGTTGCCATGGTTACTAAAAATAGAAATTTCTGTGAAATTCTTTCAAAATGCTACTCCTTCTACAGTTTTAGTCTGATTTCAATATAACTTGGCACACAAGTAGACTACACTAAGATACATAATTCTGTATATCGGTTTTTAGCTCACCTCAACGAAGTTGGGGGAGCTTATGTAATACCCTCGGCGTCGGTGTCGTCGTCGGCGTCCCAGGTTAAGGTTAAGTTTTTTGGAGCAGTTTTCTTTTTAAGTACTTCTATATCCTATATTGATTAGACATGCATGGAAGATGGTTATAGTGTGTTTCATTGTACCAGTCAAAGTTTCAGATGCTGCAATTTCTGCAAAGGAATGACCAGGTTAATGTTTTTGGAGCAGGTTAACATTTTTGGTGCAGTTTTTGGTGTAGGTTTCATTTCCAAGTAACTATAATCCCCATGTTGACCAAACTTGCATGGATGATACATCTAAGGATGGATACTACCGGGCTTGCTTCAGATGCTGAATCTGACCTACATTTTCCGGTTGAGTGAACAGGTTTAAGTTTTTGGTGCAGGTTTCATTTCCAAGTAACTATAAGCCCTACGTTGACCAAACTTGCATGGATGATACATCTAAGGATGCATACTACCGGGCTTGCTTCGGATGCTGAATCTGACCTACATTTTCCGGTTGAGTGAACAGGTTTAAGTTTTTGGTGCAGGTCTCATTTCCAAGTAACTATAAGCCCTATGTTGACCAAACTTGCATGGATGATACATCTAAGGATGGATACTACCGGGCATGCTTCGGATGCTGAATCTGACCTACATTTTCCGGTAGAGTGAACAGGTTAAAGTTTTTGGTGTAGGTTTCATTTCCAAGTAACTATGAAACCTATGTTGACCAAATTTGCATGGATGATACATCTAAGGATGCATACTACCGGGCTTGCTTCGGATGCTGAATCTGACCTACATTTTGCGGTTGAGTGAACAGGTTAAAGTTTTTGGTGTAGGTTTCATTTCCAAGTAACTTTTAGCCCTATGTTGACCAAACTTGCATGGATGATACATCTAAGGATGCACACTACCGGGCTTGCTTCGGATGCTGAATCTGACCTACATTTTGCGGTTAAGTGAACAGGTTAAAGTGTTCATCAAGAGATGAAAATTCTCAAATTTGCTTCAGATGCTGGATTTTGATTACATTTTCATGAAGAAGAACTAGTTTAAATTGTTTATGTAGGTCTATTTCAAAGTATCAGGTCAAAATTGCTTAAATATTTTCATTTTTGGAATGTACACTTTTTGTTGATTAATTGTGTGACTTTGCCTTACTTAAAGAAAACATTCGTTGAGGTGAGCTCTGTAATCTCTGATTACCTATGTTTGATTTCGATGAACGGTGTTGGCGTGGTTACTAAAAATAGAAATTTCTGTGAAATTCTTTCAAAATGCTACTCCTTTTACAGTTTTAGTCTGATTTCAATATAAACAGTGGGACGGACAACTTCGGAATGGACATTTTTCCGAACTTGCGCACCCTTTTCCTTTAAAGCTATCATCTTAGGGTTTTTTTTTATATGGTGGGGTTTTTATAATCAAACTGGTTTATGAAAAAAAAAAATTCAACATTTTCTGCTAGTTTTTGAGATATTTGAGTTCAAAAAAAAAAATCCCATGGGGAAACATGAACTTAAAAATACCCCACAAAAAACCCCACAAAAACCCCATGGGGTTTATTTTTCACCCCATGGGGTTAAATAACCCATATTATTTTTCGTGGGTTTTTTTAACCCACGCCTCACTAAAAATAAAATGTGGGGTTTATTATCCCATAATTTTTTATGTGGGTTAAAAAAACCCACATTATTTCTCTTAATGCTTGTAATTATCAAGTAAGAATTATAAAATAAATATTGTTTGGAGTTGCAACATAAATTAAGTACAATACATGTACATTTTTTATCA